ACAAATGTTGGCAACAAATGTAAATAAAAAACACAATTATAAAAAAAACAAAAAAAAAACACCCAGCTTCTTTCACGGCTCTTTAATCGCCCTGTGCATTCTGTATACTCCGATCGTAGATACAGTATGTGTTGACATTTCGAGCCTATTTAAAAGTCAATGGCTTTTCTTGTATCATCAAAGGCGGAGTCTGAGTGCAGTGGGCAGATAGCGGATTTATCACTGAGAATCCTTCACTGGGCACCGCACATAGACACATCTCTGCACAACTCTGCACAATAAGACAAATGCCAACACTTAATTTACATGATACAGATCTTTCTCTTGCCGTTTGGATGCAGCAGGGCTATTCAAAATCATGTTTAAGCTCAGTGTAACGAGAGAGACAAAAACACGGTTTGCAACTTGCTTTGTTGATTATCTTCAAAACATGGGAAAGATTGTGACTGAGTGAAAACTGTTGGGAGGGTTTATTTTTTAAGAATGGTACAAAGTAAGTTATTCAATATGTATTTTCATTTTGTTTATTATTGTCTTTTCATTCATTCATTTTTATTTATTTTTCATTTGTTTTATTTTATTTTTTGACACGATGGGAGCATAGTGGTTGCCTGGTCGTACCACACCATAGTACAAATTACATTTCATACTAAGGTCTGGAGGTGCTCCATTGAGCTCCGTTAACAGGTGGGAGGGGTTAACTCCTTTGGCAGATTGAAACGATTGGATCTGAGTATGTAATGCGCCCGAGTCTGTCGTTAGCATTTAGCCTAGCTTTAGCCATCTCCTTTGCCGCTAACGGAGCCCGTGGGGTGTAGCGCCACATTTTTTTCCAGTGATAACATTTGCTAAACATTACTCTTGATCCGGCTTCAATTTCTTGATAGAACCAGACCAGATTACTTTACTATCGCATTCTTCGCCATTGCCAAACTACAACCTTCCCGTTCGGCGCAAACTCTTGACATCACCCACAACTAACTACAACACTCTCCTTCCGCGCTCTCTGAATGGTCGGTCGAAATTCAACCGATTGTAATCGCTAACACAGGGACCAGACCCAGACGTTACATGCAGTGATGATTGAGCAGCGTGTACAGATGGCTAAAGCCAGGCTAGCATAGTGGGAGAAAATAAAGAAAAATGTGTCTCCTTATCTGTATGTATTATATGGGAAAAAGTGTGAACTAACTAAGATGACACATTAAAGTAATAATACAAAAAATATGAAATCAAATATACAGCTTTCAAACGGAATTGAAAAAAGTGTAAAATTAGCCTCTTGTTGATGATTACTAAAACGCTTCACTTTGGCAAAACTTTTAGCAGAAACTTGCGATCTAATGTTATTGCTTAGTTTTTCCTTCCTTAGATCTATCCTAATTTCTTCACATTTACAAACAGACTTAGCTGCTCTCCTTACTAAAACAACCGTCACTGACTTTTCTTAGCTGCTTTTATCTACCACTGCAGGGCTGGCATTAAATCTTAGCTTTTATTGCAACATTAACAAAAGCAAAAAAACCACAGCCAACCATTAAAGCAGTGGTCTTATTGAGGGACGAGGTTTTATTGGTCTGTTTGGTAATTCTCCTCGAGCTTTTTGTTTTTACCATTTTACGAACAACTTTAAAGTGTATTGATTGGCCATTCAAAGTTCATTAAAAGAACGGTAATTATATTTTATTAGATTATTGGGTTAGCTGTTTGTATTGTGTTAAAGCAACAGTAGGCTGATGTCACTTCCTGGAGGTGGTCAGTCGTCATGGAAACTTAAAGCTGGGGTATCTAACTCTCAAACCACAAAACAATGCAACTATGTAATCAAATCTATGTAACCAGTATTTTACGTGCATGTATTTTCGCACTCTTTCACATCTTTCAATTAAATAATTCAGACAGAAAAGTGAAAAACCCATAGTGTGTCCTCATGACGATCTCTAAGTCTATTTTTTTCAGCTAAAAAGTTTAACAAACATGTGCTACACAACTCTGCAGGGCACTATCAACTTGTTCAAACAGAGATATTGTTGCTCTTGAATTGTCCACTCACCATAACAAAAACACATATGCTATTCATGAGTTTCCGCTACTTGTTTGAAGCAACATTTTGAGGACCATTTCCCGATTCAATATACATTTAAATTGTCTATCGCAATGGAAAAAGACCTATTCTGAAAAATATTGTGTTGCCAGGGTTCACTCTGCCAATTGTCCAGAGATTTGTCCCGATGCATAACTTTAATGCTGTGATGTGCAGTGATCTATGCTATCACTCATTTATGAAGACCCTGCCTTTCGCCAGGAAAGTTTAATTAAAGTTGGGGTACCTAACTTTCATACCACAATGACAGAACTACAATACAATCCATGTAACTCCGGTCTCTGAAACTCACTACTTTATGTATTTTTGCTCAAATATTTAGATCAGCATTTTCCGCCAGATAAGTAACAACGATAGGACCACTTTCTGATAACTACAGTATTTATTAACTACTATGTTATTGTATTGACTATGGTGCACAGCAACAGCAAGAAGGTTCCTGGCCTGTCTGCGTGGAGTTTGAATGTTCTCCCCGTGTCTGCTCTGGTTTCCTCCGGGTGCTCCTGTTTCCCCTGTACAACTACAAAATATGTACAATAGTTCAGGGTGAATGAGTGTGTGTTTGTGAGTGCAAATGTGGATCAATTAACGGATGAAAATTATCCCGAGGTGTGTTCATTAATATGCACTGCCCCAACAATAATAATAACAAAATAATAAAACATCTATAGAAAAACTAACCCCAAACCAGAAGCTATTAAACTACACATAAAACCAGTGTATATATATGTTCACCTCTTATCTGCATTGCTGTTCCCCCGTCAGTCCTCGCCATGATTGAGCGTTACGTATAAAGCCAATTCATTTACAGCGCCGCGATTGGATTGTCCTTGCCTCGACATTCGTAACACATTGGCGTTTGATGCTTTGCCAGCGCCAATTAACTTTGATAACTCCAGCGCCTGGTTTAATGTAGTGCTCCTGAATTGGTTTGACAAAAGGGCCACAGATAAGAGTTTGTGTGATTTTTGAAGAGCCTCCTGTTGAATTATGGTCAGAGGAGTTCAGCCACACGCATAATGGAAACGTCAATAGATACAACAATGAATGAGATAACAGTTCCACTTGTTATATGTTTTGTGCTTTTGGGTGTGAAGCTGTACATCTTGGTTTTCCAGTGCTTTTCTGGGTTTTCTCTTCCAGTTCATAGAGCCTATAGTTTAAGATGATGGTGGAAGGAAGCTGAAAAAAATGTCTGAAAAGTCTGATTTATTGTCTTAGTTTGGAGCTTTCTCTGTAACCCCTGGGCATATCCATATAAAACAAAATTACACTCAATTCAATGTATAGCCCTAAATCACAACAGTAGTGATGTCGGAGTTGTCGATTCGCCGACACAGATCAGAGAATCAAACCGTCCAAAGACAGGAAATTAGAACAAACACTCACAGAATGAACCATTGACCGATAGGGAGCGGGATGACCAATGTCCATGTCCAGGATCATCCCCACTGTCCTGCCTCAGTAAAAAACCCAGTGGGAAAAAATGAGAAACTTTGGAGGTCCACAAAGAGAGAGGGATCCAGGACTCATGCAATCACAAATTGTCATCGTGTTCCATACCTTCTTTGTCAGTATTATGTACTATGATTAGTACTATGATCATGTTATTTTCTCATAAAGGTGTCTGGAGTAGGGATTCTCACATCTATACCTACAGATCGGAGGAGAGGCCTGCATAGCCTAATGTGATAGAGAGAAAGAATCTCGCACACATTTCTACATGCCAACATCACGCATAAGAATAGTTTGTCAGGTTTGTGAATGCAATTACTATCAAATATAATTTTCGTAAAACATTTAATCTTTCAACATTTCTTTCAAAAATGGATTATTGCACAGAAAGTTGACATGCGCTCTTTCGACTGAAATAGAAGAGTCAAAAGTCTGCATGTAAAGAATTATTCAAAAGCCTTGACAAAATTAACAAAAGAGAAGAGAGTCATACACACAAAGAACTGCTTTAAACATGGATTTGAACTTTGTCAGTAGGGCTGGGCGATACAAACGGTATAAGTGGTATGCGATACAAATTTGGCCCACGGTAGAGATTTTTGTTATACCGGCATATTGCATTAGCACAGCAGCATTAGCAGCATTAGCCCAGATCACATCCATGAGCGTCAGCGTGGCCTGCAGCGTGGCAGAAGTTTGATGAAGTTAGCGTCAGATTCGGACTTCTGCGGTCAATAGCTCACGAAAGCTACATTGTTAAACTAAAGTAATCGTGCCAAAATGATCACATTTACATCGATTGTTCAAATCCTATGCGCTGTTTTAATGCAGAGAAATTCCTCTCTCTCTCTCTCTCTCTCTCTCTCTCTCTCTCTCTCTCTCTCTCTCTCTATTAAATAGATATATATATTAAATAGATATTAGATTCTAATATATAAATAAGTAAAAATCTAGACTATTTTATGCAAGAACTTGCAAGACCTATTGAAATTCACACACCAAATTATATCGCAATATATACCATCGAAACATTGGACCTGTTGAATTTTCAGAGATACAAGTCTGCAGAATATATCTGAATTGTATCAAATGTATAAAAATATATACAGTTATTGCGGGTTTACTGTTTTATAACTACTTTCACAAAAATGATCCTGGAGTCATTAAAGCATGCGGACTCCTGCAGACGTTCTCTGATATCGCTACACACAGATAATTTGCATAACTCTTTTCTCTTGGTTTTGATGTTCAATTTAACGAAACATGTTCTCAAAGTAGAGTATTATCTTTCTTCAGCAGCTGTTTTGTGAGCACTGTGTTGGTGACTGCTCTGAAATATTGTGTCTTATACTTCCCGACAACATAGCCTCAGATAAACTAGAAAGCCAATAGAAGAAAGGGTTGTCTTTTTCTTATGTGCTGTACTCTTTCCTCCTCACAGGCTGCCAGAAGCTCTATCGTCTCGTCTGATTGGTCACGCCATCCATCGATCAATCCAACTTCCTTCCAGCGGGAGGCGACATGGGGGCAGCGAGTGGGACTAAGGTCTTGCTCCTGGTTGTGCTGGTGGGATGGGAGACGTCGTGGAGCCTAAACTGGAACCCCATCCCTCGAAAGACCATCCGATACCAAGGTGAGTGTTTATGGTCAGTAACATTTTAGTTACAACACACTGCAGTCCTCTTGTCAGAAAGCAAGACTTGAAAGGGACGTTGTCACGATGCAAAAAAAAAAAGTCGATACCAATTTGATACCATTGTTATTATTTAGAAAAGCAGTGTTTTTGCCCATAAAGTGTGATTTCTAAGACAGAATATGGGTTTTAGAAAGCTTAGTAGTAAAAAAACATACCAAAACATCTATTTAAGTGTATGGAATATAAACAAAATAAAATAAATGTGCACTTTATTGCCCCATAGGGAAATTTGTCCTCTGCATTTGACCCATCCTGATGCCACTAAGGCTTACGTCAGGAGCAGTGGTCGCCGTAGTAACAGTTCCCGGGAACCCATCTCCAGATCACCAGAGCTGGAGGATTTTAACATGTTCTATTACTTTTTAGACTCATTTTTTGAGTTTTTTTAGACTTATTTATTGCATAAGTATTCTTAGACTTTCTTGTTGTGCAAGTATCCTCCCTAACGCTGTCCTCCCCTCGGTGATGAGCCAGGATACGCAGCGTCACACATAAAAAATAAGAATCCATCTTATTCAACACATCGCGTAACAAAGTCCAGCACGTATTTCACTGTTGGTGTAATCTGCGAGACTCATTACAATCAGAGACTTGGACGGAAACTGTGCGTCTGCGTTTCGTCCTGAGTGATGAAGATGATGACGGAGTAAATCAGGGGTAACTGCTCAAATTAGTATCAAGTATTGATGAATATCCGTCAATACTTTCTCTCAATACAATCAAAACTTTTGTCAATCCTACATGAAAGAAATATAATTTTACACTTTGGGCTGAGAGCTGATTATCTGAAAGCTGATTGGATGAGAGTCGGCATGAAAGCTGATTGGCCTCGTTTTCACTTTTTTGTCTGAATAAGTTAATTTCAAGATGTAACAGAGGCCAACAATGCCTCTGAACGTGTTTTGAGAAGAATTGATTTTATTACATGATTTGTGGATTCATAGTTAGGTACCCCGGCGTTAAGAAATTATTTCTAATCATGAGGTGACGGTAGCCCAACTCAAGACTTTCACCATCGACTCCCTCTGTCTGCTGTCGTTGTGTCCTTGGCAAGACACTTAACCTCTGGGACCAGGTGCCACAGTGGGGCGGCTGCGGCTGTAAAGTGCCAAAGCTGTTGTGCCCTTAGGCAAGACACCTCACCCCCATTGCCTAGAATGAGTCTGGTGTGTTATCAGACCGATGGCACATACTTGTTGCCTCGCTTCTGTCAGTGTGCCCCAGGGCAGCTGTGGCTACAGTAGTAGTTTATCACCACCATGTATGGAATGAATAATGACATGTAAAGCGTCTTTGAGTGTCCAAAATAAAAGCGCTATATAAAACTGATGCATTATTATTATTATTAAGTAATAATGCTCTTAAATATGAGACCACAATGTGTCCATGAAGATGTTATTACCTTTCCTATACAGTGTGGCCGTGGACTTACCTTGATCTTGCATTTCTCATCTCTCATGCATTTATAGGTTGGTGTTTGATGCGCTTATTGCCGAAAATCTACATCATACACGGAAAACGATACTATACTCAGAATACTTACACTAGTGAAGTACATTACAAGCCTGTTCACAGATAAATCCATCCCATAATGTTGTGAAACATGCCACTCTTTCGTGTTTTTTGGGTCGGCTTGAAACAATAATCAAAACTTACACAGAAAGTACATTCTTTTTACAACCGCGTGACCCCAGCGTAACTTCAGCTGTGAGAAGGACCTAAGGGCAAAGTGGAGAGTTTCTAGTGAAAGGCAGACTCTGTTTACAGGTGAAAGAAGCGGCTCACACATTATGTAACACACATTTTCACATATCTGCTATTCAATACAAGACAACTTTTTAGGACATCTCGTTCCCTGAGATCAAAAGTAAATATGTTTTTTTACAAAAGGTCATGCTTTGCCATATCAAGGCAAGCTAAAAAGAAGTTTTTTGAGTTTTAAAAGGTGATTTTGTGTTGAAGGCTACATTACGTTTGTCTCCACTGAAAATGTAGAATTAAAATCAATTATTCTGACAGAGATGTAGGTGAGGAAGCCGACAAGGTCTGAATAAAAGGTATTTTTGAGACATGTCTTACATTCAGTGATGGAATAAATGTGTACTTTTGCCATATCATGGGACATTCTGATAAACTGAAAGCTGAGTGTGTCAATAACAGAAGTAAATTCACTTTTGAACAACATTTAAATTAAAGGAGCAATATGTAAAAATCTGGCCTCTCCCTGACTCAGGTTGCCAGATATGCAGACGAATCCAGCTGGGCCCATAATAACTGAATAGACACGAGTTTAGTCAACAACAAATCTATAACCAACACCTTTTTCACAAAGGCCCCGATAGATTTTCCCCATTTTATTTCTTGTTTTGTCATAAAAGATTTGAGAATCATAACGTTTTTAGAATGAGGCCTGATTTATTACTTTACCAGTGAGATTAGCTTGACGCAGTGAGATCTGGCAACCCGGATCACGGACTTACTGAATGGTAAAACAGTGGAGGGCGGGACACCAAAATGAAAACAATAATAATAAAGATTTAGGGGCTGTAAAACTCATTTTGAATTTTGAATATTTCGGCAGAACTACTGTTTTCAGTTAAAGAAATATTGGAAAGAAGCAAAGTTTATTAATGCCTTTTGACAGATTAGGGCCTTTTAATGATGACTTGACATGAAAATCTTACATATCGCTACTTTAAGTATAACCTGCAAATTGTACTATTTTGAACAAAACACTATTGCGCTCTAAAGTGAACTTACCTGTTGGGGTCTGCTACGTTGCTTGGCTTGGATTTCCCCAGAATATGATATTGGTCGACTAAAATTACTTTTTTTTAAACCTGAGTTCTTGCATTGGGTTGGCTCTCCTCTCCACAGAAATGACCCATAACTCCTACTTCCACTGATGTCACTCGATTGGCTGCGATGTTTTTTGTCATACTGAGGAAGATGGACCCAGGCAAAAAGTGCACCTTTAGAGTTAGCTAAGTACATTTGTAAAGCCTTGACTCAAAATCACGGATAGTTCTCACATTACAGACTGATAGAAGATACAGAACCTTCCTAAATCCTTGAATAGAAGATTAGAAATGTTTGATAAATGTGTATATATCACAAATACAAAAAAAATGCTTAAAAGTCTCTGGTTCCTATGCCAATGGGTCAAAACCACATCCCTTTGTCCTGAGACCATATTCTGCTCACTAGTCCTGACATGACCAAAGTGCAACACGTTCCTTTCATCAAATCACAGTTGTACAGTTTGGCAAATATTGAAAAACAGAACAGTGGGAGTATAAAATATGTCCAGGCTGTTTCTTTGACCGCTCGTTCTGTCAATAAAGCATTACAGATCGTTCTCAGCCCGAAGTGAATCGATTGAAACTGCTCCCCTCCTGACCCGACAGCTGTACCGACGGACCTCCACAGACTCTCTCTGTTTCTGCGAATATTCCTCTGCTACTGATACTTGCGGATAACAACATATCTGCTTCCTTTCCTGCTTTATTATTCTGAAATCAACACCAAGCCAATGACTGTGAAATTCTGTATGATTTATTGGCTTCGCGACATTGAGCCAAAACTCGAGAAGGAAGTTGTTTTTCATCTGTTATCAAATACTTCCGAAAATTGCATTTGGTCAGATTTTCATCCACCACGCCTGTCTATATACTTCCAAAATATAAAGATGAAGTCACTCTGTGTGCTTACTATTACTCCTGCATTACTAAAATGTGAGTAAATTTGAGGTTTTCACTGTGAGAGGTTACTTCCACGGATCAGACCTTTTTCCACTGGGTTAGAAAAGTTCAATGCCAAATAATTTAATATTATAACATTCTCAGCCAAATCTCCATCAGTATAAAATTATGTGAAAAGTTTCCAAGGCGCCGCACACACTGAACACTGCACTGACTGTATATTTCAATGAAAGAAAGTAATTCATTTTACTGACACAGGCTCCGCTACTATGTGAGTCTTTCGTGGTCATGTGAATAGACCGCATTCAGAAAAGTCCATATTCTTCCCAAAATATGCCATATATTAAAGCTGAGGTACCTATTTTTGCCATAAATAATACATGTTGTGTCAAACCCTAACCCAATAGAAAAAGGAAAGTAAGGTGTTGTGGACAAATACTGTTTTCTTCTTGTTGGAAAACATAATTTACAGACTTAAAGGTATATAGGAGGAGGTTCTACTTTCGGGTAGATCATCAAGACTGTTGGTCCTCCCAATTGTCAATCATTCTGTTGACACGTGCTCATCAAGTAAGACCAGAGAGTTATGTTAAAAAAGTGGAGAGGGCGGTTCTTTCCTAAAATTTGGGATAATCGTCCTATATACCTAGAGCTGTGAGTCACTATTTGAGGCTTTGGGCTGAGAGCTGATTGGCTGAGCAAGGGTGGACCTCTCTGTTTCACTTTTTTGTCCTAAAAAACAGACCTAAAGATGTGACTGAGGCTCTTTAACTGCCATTGACGTATTTGTCTGAGACTGGTGATTTCGACTGGGGATCACAGGAGAACAAAACTATCTAGAAACCAACATATTTTTGCTGATGAAAGTAGACAGTCCAGTCTTTCAGAATCTGGTTTCATATTTTACATAGTCACTCACAGCACACAATATTCTGTGGGTCTTAAAAGTCTGAAATCATCAAGAATGGCTGGCAGTCAGTGAGTTGATATACAGTACATGCTTATTAAAATTTGTGACAGACTAACCCACAAAACTGTTTAAGGCGATAATTAGAAGGATCGTATGACTGTTACAATTGCCGTGCTTTGAAAGTTTGGCACCCCAGCTTTAAGTTACTATTTTCTTTACGACTAAAACAAAACAACCCACAATCTAATCCATGCTCATGTGTATTTGCCCTTCTATCCCTGCCCTCCTCTGCATACCTGGGCACTGCACGATAGCACTGTACTGTA